ATAATAGGATAATCATACAAATGCACAATATATGATGCATTCACAAAGCACTTAGTGATCTCACTATATTCATTGTTTTTTAACTGCGTGGCATTAGAAGATACTCCTGTTTTCATTTTGTAAACATTTATTTCGCGATTTCATTCACAATCATTGTGACTGCTGTCATTCACCGATTCACCATAAATTTGGTAAATATTTATTAATCTTAATTATATTTAATAATAATTAAATTTGATACTACTTTAGTAATTTTATTAATCTTTCTTCAATGTACGTATAGCCTACATCTATTTCAGTATTTGATATTAGAAGTGGTTTGAGTCTTTACAATATTGGTGATGTTTTTGTGAGTAGAAGTAGGCTGTAAGAACTTTTGTTTATACCAGTTAGCCTAGGTAAAATTAGTTTCGTTACATGTTTAATTTAAATCACAGTTTCCAAGAACCCACTGATGATGTTAGGTGAAGACTTACTATATTTGGAAAGACTTATGTTCAGGATTACAATCTCTTCTGCTTGAGCTAGTGTATTGCTAAAGCTTGCAATTGTATTTTTAAATTTTATTCATTGACTTCTTCAGTGCCAAGATTTCTGTTCGGTTCTTTTCTATGATGTATATCTATTTGTTGAATTTCTCATTCAGATCACAAATTGTTTTTCTGATTTTATTGAATTAACTATCTGTATTCTTTTGTATTTCACTGAGTTTCCTTAAGAAATTACTGTGAATTCCTTTTCAGACATTTTGCAGGTGTGTTTTCCTTGAGGTATGTTTAATTAGAGACTTACTGTGTTCCTTTGGAGGTGTCATGCTTCCTTGCCTTTTCATGCTTCTTTTGTCCCTAGCTTGATATCTGTATATCTGGTGGAATAACCACCTCTTCCAATTTTATGGAGTATTTTTCATAGAAAAAAACTTTTTCATTGTTCAACACCCGCCTATGAGTGAGAACATGCGGTTTTTGATCTTCTGCTCTTCTGTCAGTTTGCTGAGAATGATGGTTTCCAGGTTCATCCATGTCCCTACAAAGGACACAAACTCATCGTTTTTGATGGCTGCATAAGTAGCACTACACACTTAGGTCTGTTGGGGGGAAATAGGGGAGAGTCAGTGGGGGGTGGGGAGTTGGGGAGAGATAACATGGGGAGAAATGCCTGATGTAGGTGATGGGGAGGAAGGCAGCAAATCACACTGCCACGTGTGTACCTATGCAATAATCTTGCCTGTTATTCACATGTACCCCAAAACCTAAAATGCAATAAAATAAATTAAAAAAAACAAAAGAAAAAAGAAAAAAACTTTTTCCTATAGATTTGACCTGCAGTTTTGGTTGAGTAGGTTGTTTAGCCTTTTTTCTCACTGGGTGCAGTAATGTAATTTCTGTCATTTCTTCAGCCATAATATCAGCATTTTCTGTGAGTGGCCTAGACTGTGGGTGTTTGTGGAGGCAGTGGTGTGCCTTTGCTTGGGGTGAGGAATGCTAGGCAGGCTTGTCTTTAGTCCCTGAGAAATGGCTGCCATCTCTCAGTTACCATTTTCTGATTACAGGGTCCAAGGGATGTAGAGATGCTAGGGATATTGGGCCTCAAGGCAGAATGCACTCTAGCAGTTGCTTCATTCTCCAAATGATACAGTGCTGCAGCAGCTTGGATCCTGAGGAATTCAGTGGATCAAATGTGAATTCTCTCTCCTGAGCAATCCAGCTTTATGGACCTGCCAGCTCCCTATGCTGGACTCAGGGCCTGTGAGGACTGTGGAGTTGCCCTGTAGCTAGGATTGCAAGTATCCACAGTGGTCATGGGAACTGCTAAGGATGTCTTGCTCAACTTTTCTCCTCAAAGGGAAGTCCCTTCTGGATCCAGGCTGATCTTGGCCAGGTGTTCTCCTTTCCTCTTTATGCTGACATGTGGAGTTTCTATGCCTTAGATCTTCATCACTTCCTGATGAATTCCATTGTTTTCCTGTAGACACTCAACTCAGTGTCTCTACTTGTTTTGGTTTTTCTTTGTGGAGGAGATGAGCATTGGGTACCATTTTGATTGAAGTTTTTAATCTCTTCACCTCTAATTTGTATTCATGTGATTGGATTTACATTTATAATTTTGCTATTTTTTCTGTGTGCCTCATATTTTTTTGTTCCTCTGATACTCTTATAATTTATTTTATAATAAATTGATATTTTTTATGTTCTATTTTAATTCCTTTACTGATTTTCAAATTACTTTTGAATTATTTTCTTTGTGGTTGCTTGGGGGATTATAATATGCATCTGATTTACTGCAAACTACTTGAGATTATTGATAACTTTATTCCATTAAAATAGAGAAAATTTCCCTACTATAGCTTCATTTTCTTCTGCTTCTTGTGCTGTTATTGTCACATATATTGCATCTTTATGTGTTACAAGTCCAACTATACAATTTTATCATTATTGTTTTATGCAATTTCCTTTTAAATCAGAAGAACAAGAGAAAAAAGCATTTATACTGTCCTTTAACAGTTACCAACATAATTACCTGTATTGATTGTTTTGTTTTATGTATTTGTTTTATCATCTGTTGTTACTTTCTTTCAGCCTAATGAACTTCCATTAATATTCTGCTAGGAATCAATTATCTTATTCTTTGTTTGAGTATATTTTAATTTGCTTGCATTATTGAAGGATAATTTTGCTGGATATAAAATTCTTGGAGAAATTAGGTGTTAATCTACTAAAAGTTTCCTTGTACCTAAAAATTGTTTTTGTCTTTCTGCTCTCAAGATTTTTTTCTTGATCCCTGTCTTTCTACATTTTGGCTGTGATGCATTTGATTTTGTATTCACTGATTCTTTTGCCAACTCAGATCTGCTGCTGAGCCCTTTTAGTGAATTTTTTATTTAGTTGATTGTACTGTAAACTCCAAAATTTTCATTTTTTTGGTATTTTCTTTTTATTGACACTTTTTAATTAATGAATCACTGTTGTCATATGTTCTTTTATTTGAATATGATTTCCCTTATTTCTTTGAACATATTTGGAATAGATGTTTTGAAATCTTTATGTTTCAAGCCTTGCATTTGATCTCCTTCAGAGATAGTTTCTATTGATTATTTTTTTTCCCATATACTTTGCATGTGTCATAGTTGTTTGTTGTAAATTGGACATTTTGTACAATACATAGCAGCAACTTTGGATTCTGATTTCTTTTCCCCCAGAGGTGGTTGTTGTTTCAGGTTTATTTGTTTATTGACTTGCCTAGACTAATTTTGTGATGTTTGTTTTGTGTGCCCTGTGATTTCTCTGCTCGTTAAAAAAAATTCCCTGTTTTATTTTTAAGCCCAGCATCCTAGAAATTTCACTGGGCTACTATAACTTAGTCATCAGCCAGTGATTGTTTGGAGATTGTTTAAACTTTTGAGCTAATAAGGTATTTACTCTTTGGCATGGGATATATACATTTACTGGGTAATACTTTCAAAGTCAGGGAATTATAAGTCTGATTTTCTTTAAATTTCTATGTTTATGAGGCCACATGGTTAATATAAATGAGTAGCTTGCTAATTACTGCACTGTCTATTGTCTTCTGAGTAAGTACAATCTTGCACATGCATACAACTTTCGAGACTAACAGTAAAATATATGTGAGACCCTGGCAAGACCCTGTTGGGCTATCTCATTCTCCGAATTTCTCTGTTAATTACAGGCACTAATCAATATATAATCTGTGCTAGTTGAACAATGCTTGAAGAAATTAATGCATTTAAAAATACTGTAATAATGACAAATATCTAAAAAGTGTGACATTCCATTAGCATAGAGTATTAACAATAGACTTAGTAGCTGACCTGTAAAAAAAAAAAAAATTCTCTGGTTGAAGAAAGAAATTAGGGCCACACTTTTGTAATAATAATAATAATAATAATAATCAGCACCTTTATAATGATTTCTCTGTGAGGAAGGTAGTATTCTAAGCTCTGTATATACATTAATTGATCTAATATTTAAAATGGAATATTTTTATACAAATTTTACAGATAATGAAACTGAGGCACAGATACAATAAACTATGTCTTCTGGCACCAGAGTTACTGGTCTTAATCACTTTACTATACTGTCTGTATTTAGGTATATTGCTACTATGTCGTTAAACCAACCGGATAGGCTAAAATGTGAATGAATAAGCTTAATGTTTATATTAACTTTCACAAATAGAGTTACATAACTGTAAAAATGTGATGGGAATACAATTTTTTCTTTGTCCTATGTTGATTTGTAAACAAATTGTATCTAGAAGTGAGACAAATGAGCAAAAGCAATTTTGGTGAAATTTTTCATGTCTAACCTTTTATCTAATGACAACGTAAAGCAGTTAGAAAACATTTAAAATTTATGACCAAGTAGTATCCAGTTCAATTTTACATTAGGTGAAGTGGAATAGATTTTTTTTTTAGGTTGATTAGTTTTCATTTTGTGAGGTTATTCTCAAATCTCCAGTTGAGCTCCCCTTCCAACTTGACTTAGAATACTATTTTATTAGTTTAGAACATATTTTGAAGCCACATTTATAGACAGATTTAAAAAATTACGTCCTTTCAATTATCTCCAGTACTGCTGCTATATACTCTTGTCACTACCATATATGAGCCTTCATCATTTCCTGGGTATTATATATTATTTCCATTCAGCAAGGTAGGAAACAGGCCTAGAGTGCTTAAATAACTTACTAAATGTTAACTTGTACCATAAATTATTGTCATTTATCATTAAATATGGCCTAGCAAGTTGTTTGTTGCTACCTTTTGATAAATAGTAATTCTGAAAATATTTTTGTGTTGGACATTTTATTTATCTTTTAAGAAAGGAATTTGCATATTAGAATGTAAAATATTGAGCACTTAACAGTAATTCCCCAAATATTCTTGTGTTGGAAATTTTATTTTTTAAGAAAGGAATTTTCATATTATAATAAAAATATTAAGCACTCACTAACTTTTATGTAATGTTTTCTGTTTTAAGGAACTGAAATTACCATTCACCTTTTTAAGTGGACATATTCATGAATTGAGGATTCATGTACCATGGACAAAACTGGGCTCAGAACCTGTGGTAATTACCATCAACACTATGGAATGCATTTTGAAACTTAAGGATGGAATACAGGTAAGAAATTATTGAATCAAGTTGTTTGTGTTAACAAATTTAGTAGTATTCGACATTTCTTTACTTTTTTGAATATGTCAACTGTTACATAAACAAATCTTAGCTTGTATACTTAATTATTATATGCCTATTTAAGTGACATGACTATTTGCAAAGGGTATTTTGAAATTTGAATAAAATATGTAAAGGATGTTTTCATACAGATTTTACTTACTTTATCATAGCTTTACCAGGGACGATGCAGATTGCTTATTACTTATATCTACAATGAAAGTGGAACCTAATTGCTAATTGTGTCCAGTTTTTACATTAACATTTTTGAATTTTTGCAAAGGACCTGTATGAATTTTTTCTTTACATAATTTTTCTAAATCTGAAGGGAATTTCTCTAGTAATTTTTTGGGAAGATGAAAATACATTTACACCAAATTTTTAAAATTGTTTTTGAAGTTTAGATATAAAAAAATGTTGTTTTTTTTTTTTCAAATTTATTTCTTCTCAGACCCATCTTACATTTCTTGCTAGTGTTTTTTTGCAAATGTGTAATACTGGTTTTAAAGAGTTTCTACCAAGAGTTTTCTGATCTAGGAAAGCAAAATAGGACCATAGCTTATTGCGAAGATCGTTTCCACTTTCATATTGCAGAAGAGTAGTGTGTCTGTCATTCATTTTTATTAGTTTTTGTTTATCACCCATTTAACATTTAACTTTGAGTTTTAAGGAAGATTGGCTATAATCAACTAAACTGATAAGTATTGTTAAAATGACTTCATATGAATGTGTAGGTAAGTTTAACATATTCTAAATTTAACTTTAATCTTAGAGAAGTTAGGGTTATTTATGAACTGTTAAAATTATTTCCTATTTTAAGTGGATACTTTTGAGTGTCATATCAACCCATTGGACTCAGATCTTTTTTTTCTATTTATGAAATCTTTGATTCTAAACATGTATTATCCAATTTAACTTAATACAGTTTCTATAAGTTAATAGACCAATGTTATAGTCTCATGAAAATGAAAAGTTATTTTGTGAACTTTTAATATTTGAGAAATTAATTTAGAAATCTATAGTTACATTGCAACAAAGTTTTGCTTTACATTTATAGTTGGTAATACTTAAATGGTTCTTAATTATCTTTTCTTGGAATTTATTTTGTTTTTCAAGTCTGGACTTGGTTATACCACCCATGCAGTGTTCCATATTAAAAGAGAAAAAAATTTCCAGACACTTAAGTATTTTTTCATTGAGAAGGTGGAAGTTTGAAGGCCAGATGTCCCATAAGAAACACATTTTAACAGAGGCTAATTACAACTAATTATAGAGGCTGCAGAAAAAGATTTGTAACACATGACTTAGTGCAACCTAGAACTAATATTTGGTACCGGACCATGCAGATGGCTACTGCAGGAATGATCAGATTTCCTGCTTGCATGGTATTTGAGACTTGAATTTTGTGGTGTGTACAGCAAAAGGTTAAATGTCATGAATGTAAACCACTCTCAAAACAAGTATTTTTTACAGATGTTTAAAATTTTGAGTTAGAGAGGATTTTTGAAAATTGCAGTTGACATTTGGACAACTTATTTAGCAGTGTATACCCTTGGAGAGTAATGGTTGGGTTTATGCTAGTGATTTGAATTAAATTAAACATTGTAGATGAAACAGATTTTAAAATAGTTTATTTTCCTCTTTTAAGCTTTGATTAGTATAGTATGTAATTAAGCTGAAAATTATGTATGTACTGGTAAAACTGAGTAAGTTTATATTCAAATTATTTTAAGTTATTACATTGTAGAATCACCATGAAGTAAAGACTTATTTTCTAAATGAAATTGGGAATGGAATGGTAGGTTAAGTGAAGGGGTCTTTTAGAGTTATAGGTACCCCAAGATAAGAATCTGTTAAAAAAAATTCTATTGTATATAGGAATGTATTAAAGTATGATTAAAAGGTAGGAATATGAGGCTTAATTGAGATAAGATCATTCCAAAAACAAGGTATTGTTAAATGCCTTGATAAAAGGCATGCCTTGTTTGTAACGGTCAGTTTAATTCTACCAACATTTGTTGGTTGTCTACTTTGTACTGCACTGAAAAGCATTGCTGAAATATTTATATAATTTCAGTGAAGGACACTTAGAGAAAGAGATTCATAATGATTGTAATTCTAGTGATCATGGTTTTTATATACTGCCTTAACATATCTTTATAATCAGTTTTACTTATAGAGATTTTTAGGATGAGAGGGTGACCAGGTTGTTGTGTTAGATAAAATGAAGTCCCTCTTGATGTTTATTCTGAATTTTAAAAAATATATTGAAACTTCACTCATAAAGTTGTTGTCTACGAGTTCCTATATACTCTGAGAGACATATCTATGTCAGTCATTCCCCTCACTTTTAAATCCCATAGAGTTATTACTTATAAACTGTTTATTCTGTTTTTGATTTCAGATACAGTTTGATTCATGATACATCATGTCAACCCTAATCTCATAAATATTTGTTAACATAGCTCAAGGGCTAAAACATTACCAGTAACTTCCACTTAACTATGTACTCCTCCCCTTTTTCATATTCTTATTTGTGCCTCTTTAGGCCTCATCTGCAAATTAGGACAAGACTTGCTATATAGTTAAAAAAAAAAAGTTATATGATTAATGTGCTGCTTTGATCATTGAATTAAATCTTGCAAAAATTCTTAAACAACCTAAAGAGAGTAATAAATTTGTTTTTAAACTACCTATTTATTATGGTTTTTGTACCACCTGAACATAAACATTAAAAAATCTTTTAATCTAATAAATGTAACTATTTGTAAGGCTGTTTGTAGAAGTAATACTTATTTTTCATAAAAAATTTGAAAAACATCTTTTGAACCTAAATATCTGAGATTATTGTCTAATAGGAGAAATAGTTTGTAGTTTCACTCTAGATGAAACTTATTTTTATGTATATATTCTTACCACCATTCTCCTTTTTAGCTTAACTTCTTTTAAAATCATTTAAGTTTAATTTTCTTTCTTTACTGTCATAACCTTATAATTGTTGGCGTGGTTTTTTAAGAGTATAAAAATCTTCTGTTTTGAAAACCTAAGGTGTTTTTATCTTGTGTACCTACAGATTTAGCTAGATTTTAAACAAAAAAGTGAAAATATTTGTATATTTGTATATTTTAATTCAGAGTTAGTTTTCTGTTTCCTGTAAGCACAGATTCTATTCTTAAACATTGTAAGTCAGAAACCAAGTAAGTCCCTTTTTGTTTTGCTTCTGTTTTTGATACTGAGTCTTGCTGTGTTGTCCAGGCTGGCCTCAAACTCCTGGCCTCAAGTGATCCTCCTGCCATGGGCTCCCAAATTGCTGGAATTCCAAGTATAAGCCACTGATTTCCAATATTAATAAGAAAAAATTTTCAGTCCTAACAGCCCATAGATTTAGGTGACCTGATCAGGAAGTGATATATTATTACTCTTGACTGTGGCATTTTATATCAACTTTTAAAATAATTTCATCTTGTAGTTTATCTTTGTTTTTCTAAAAAGTCTGTGTTAGTGTAATTAGATTTAAAGATATGGGGCAGCTGTTTTGATTTGAATGTCTAATTGTGATGAAGGGCTTCAGAATTATTTTTTTTTCCACTGTAGCTTTCTTTGATTGCACACCAGCACCTACCTACGTATCTAGCAGAACTTTTCTGGGATCTAGAGAATTTCTATACTTTTACAGGACAAAGTTTTTTCTTTATTTTGTTTACATTTAGATAGGATTTTTTATTTACTTGATGGCCATTTGATCTGGCCATCAATGTGTTCTGTTTACCATCTGGGATTTGGTGGATGAAGTAATTGTAGAAACTTGACATGTGATCATTGGAATTTTAAGTGCTGATTATTACCGAAATAGTACAGTTGTGTTGATAGACTATTAAGAATAATCAATCTCTATTAATTGACTTAAAAAATCAATTAGTTAGAAATGGAGATTAGGAGGCCTGCAAGAGAGATATCAGCTCTCTCTTAACTTGGCTGAAGTCTATGCTTATCATCACTGTCATTGGTGAAGTCATTGCTTGAATGTTATAATAAATGGTCTTCTAATTGGACTGACACTAGACAATTACTCTTCCGTATTCAGAAATATCTCTTATTTTTTGAAGCTCGTGTAACCTGACTATATAAGCTTTTATGGTCCCCTGATAGCCATCATCTATTGATTTTGTGGTCTTTCCCCCATGGTGACTGCACATTTTGTTACCTGGTTCGCAGGCTTTTTTTTTTTCCAATTGAAGTTCATCCATCATAGGTCATTTCAGTGTCCATAAGAATTCTTTTACAACTCTCTGGCAACACAATTCCTTGATTTTTAACTCTGTCATCTTTATTTCTATTCCATTTCAGCCAATCCATTTATGGCTACACTGTGGACTTTGCTGTTCCCTGAAGCATTCACTTTATTGTGGATCCTGTCTCTGTACCTTATGTATCTTACTTTAATAGTATTCCTTCACTTCAATCTCTCATTTGCTTTCTTGGCACTTTGCTGTCATTTAAAGTACTTATTTCTCTGCCACATTTTGAGGAAATACCTTTCCGCAACCATGTTGCCCTCTCTAGCTACTATCTTTTCTTTCCTTTATAACAAAATCATTTTTTTAAAAAAGAAGTCAATGTTTGTGTTTTTTTCAAATTGAAGTGAAATTCACATAACATACAATCAACCATTATTTATTTATTTTTAGAAATTTTTTATTTCTATAGGTTGTTGGGGGACAGGTGGTGTTTGGTTACATAAGTTCTTTAGTGGTGATTTGTGAGATTTTGATGCACCCATCACATGAGGAGCATACCCTGCACCCAATTTGTAGTCTTTCCTTCATACCTTTCCCAGCCTTTCCCCCTGAGTCCCCAGACTCCACTGTGTCATTCTTAATGCCTTTGCATCCTCACAGCTTAGCATCCACATATCAGTGAGGACCTATGATATTTGGCTTTCCATTCCT